CATATTCGTTATACAGAGATGTTCCTCGCTTATGCTGAAGCAGCTAATGAAGCCTGGGGCCCCGACGGTACTGGTACAAGGGCTTACTCCGCAAGAAGTGTTATCAGCGCGATCAGGAAGAGAGCAGGCATCACGCAACCAGACGCTTATCTCGCAACCATTACAACGAAAGAAGACATGCGCAAGCTCATTCGTAATGAAAGACGTTTGGAACTAAGCTTTGAAGGATTCCGTTTTTGGGACCTTCGCCGCTGGAAGGAACCGCTGACTGAAACCGTTAAGGGAGTGACCATCATGAACAATGTATTTACCATTCAGCCTGTGGAAATTCGTCCGTACGCTGATTTTATGTACTATGGTCCAATTCCGCTTACTGAAGCGTTAAAAGCAAACCTTCTTCAAAATAAAGGATGGTAATCGAGGCAATTCTAATTTAAATGTAATAAAGAATGAAAAAGTTTATTTTAATAGCACTTGGTTTCGCAGCGCTATCGATTGGATGTAATAAAGACTGGTCATTTCCTGACTATAAATATTCTACCGTCTATTTCGCTTATCAATCTCCCGTAAGAACAATTGTACTGGGTGAGGATATCTACGATAATACGCTGGATAACCAACATAAATGCACGATCATCGCTACAACCGGTGGTGTGTATGAAAATAAGAAGGATATATTACTGAATGTTGAGGTTGATAATTCGCTCGCTCAGCACCTGAAGTTTGAAACACCTAACGGCGATACTGTATTGATCATGCCGGATAATTATTACACGCTTCCCGGTGTAAAGAATATCACCATTCCAAAGGGGAGTTTTACCGGTGGTCTGCAAGTACAATTGACCGACGCTTTTTTCCAGGATCCGCGATCAATTAAAAAAACGTTTGTTATTCCTGTTAGAATCACCGGAGTACAGAACGCTGATTCGATCCTGAAAGGAAGAAGCGATCGTCCTTCACCTGATCCACGTAAACCGGCTGACTGGGTCGTGGTGCCAAAGGATTATATTCTTTATGCCATTAAGTATATCAACCCATACCATGGATTTTATTTAAGAAGAGGTATTGATGTCGTTTCCGGCGCCGGTGGCAACACAGCCCTTGATACTACAGTTGTGTATCATGCTCCTTACGTTGAAAGAGACGAAGTGGTTAGTATCGTTACTACAGCGCTAGACGAGGTTTCTGTTTCATTGAACGCCAAGAACAAAGGAAATGTAAACGCTCCATTTACCATGCTGTTGAAATTTGATGCACAGGGAAGGTGTACAATCACGAATCCGGCCACAGCAAGCTATACGATTACCGGAACGGGTGAATTTGTAAAGAAAGGAGATATGTGGGGCAACCAGCAGAGAGATGTGTTGCGCTTAAAATACCAGG